TGGTGATGGTTTTGTGGAGCTGAAACTTTTTGATGACAATAAATGACTGAGATAGCAAAAAATAGTTGAACAAAAAATGGCATTCATACAGTTTATCCACAATTTTGATCCTGATGTGCAACATATTATTCAAAAATTGGAAAGATGTAATCAAACCTTAAACAGATGTATGCTGTTAGTTTGGGACTTGTTTGGAGATGCACATGTCCCCAGTGTGTGACACAGGGCCTGAAAATCACACTGTGGGTGAACCCAAATCTTGTGGGATATATATATAGAATTGTTTGGAAGCCATAGATGATTGCACCAGCAGAAAGTCATAAATCCTTGTGACTGAGGGCGGGAATGTAATGGACCTTTTCAACTCCTGATCGCATCAAATTATATGCTCTTTCCCGGAAATCGTAAGGTCTGCTCAGTATAATTACAATCTTAACTGTAGACAAGCTTTGTGGGTGTTGAACAAACAGAGTAGAGTATTTGCAAGAGGACCCTGCTAGCTACGCTAACAGAAGTATAGTCTCAGAAATGAGCAGTTGGCTATTTTATCTATCTGTATAAATAATTGTTTGTTAAAAAACGAAGATGGATATTTGAGAAGGGTTGTCAGATTGGGTAGCATGCAATAAATTGGGTTTCATTTAGAAGTCCAGTACTACTTAATTTTAAATAGGTTTCTAATTAGCCGTCCTAGCTAGCTCGGTTCATTATAAAAGTAGCCCAAGAAGTAACAAATAGTGAAACTCAAAATGTGGTTAACTTCGGCTTTCTTCATATAGAACCTAATTTACAAAACCCCATTTCTTTCTAAATTCTTTTTTTTCATCAGATAAAAATGTGGTGCATTTTTATTTTTTTTTGTTTTGTTGTGCTTTTTGTTGTTGTGTTTTTTGTTGTTGCGTTGTGTTGTTTGTTTGTTTTGTTTTTTTAAATTGTTAATTATGTTGAGCCATTACTGTGGCAGAAAGTCTAATGGTGGGTCGTTGGAGAGAAGAAATTCTGTACCTATGAATTAAAGAAAAAAGTAATTTGGGTTTGTAGGTGTTGTAGATTTTTCTTTTTGTTGCTCTATTTGTTAAAATCAATTTTGGCTCTGGGTTTAGTTTTCAAGAGCTTTCCTTTTGTGACGGGCCAGTTAACCACTGCTTTATGCTGTGGTGGGCTGGAAATTTTCTTTTAAGTGGGAGTGGTTGGAAAATGATACTGACCAACAGGATGTAGTATTATATTTTTTTCTTTTTTATTCACTCTAAGTGTAACTACAAATAATCAATTTTTTTAGTCTATTTAATCTTATGAGAGGACACTGAAAAGTTTGGAGACCGACCCAATTTGCAAAATCTCATTAGTTAACAAGACAACATTTTTTGAATGGTTGGGCTATGAACTTTTCAGCAAACCTGCATAATTTAATTGCTTTTAATCGTAATTTCTGTAATATTTTTTTGATCATTAACAAAATCAATTCCTGGTTCGAAATTTAATAATTCATAATGCTTCTTTTAATAAATTCAAATATTATGTTGAACAAATTGTATACCTGTCTGTCTTGAACAAAGTGATTTAAAGTGGAAACCTACACTGAAAAATGCATGTCATCACAAAGTGCTGAAAAGTTCCTGGCCCAACAAACAAGAATGACTTGGTTATAAAACATGCATACCATTCTAGTCACCCACTCCCCATCTATTCAAAACACTTGGTTGTTCAAATTTTTTTTTTTTTTTTTTAACTCTTCCCAAATTTTGATGTGAGGCCATTAAAATACTGTTTGTAAGAAGTGGACCGGGCTGAGAACTTTTCAGTATAGACCAATTACATATATGAACACATGTTTTTTAAAAAAAACAAACAAACTTTTTTTGTACTTTTTGTTTATAAAACACTGCCTTTCATATTTTTCTGGGCAAAGTTTATCATCAGAAACTGTGTGCTAAAAGGAGTTTTGTTTTCCTTGACATTATTTTAACTACCTTCGCTCCTTGGCAATGTTTATTGTTTTTAAAAAGTGATGATTAGATTTGTAATAAAATCTAAACACATGAAAGTGAATTCATACATTTTTTTTGTTCTTTAGAATAGACAAAATATTAAATACTATTAAATTGTTTATTTACTGTATTATATTTACAATATTCTAAAAGTGATTTGTACCCACAGAAATAAACATAGATTTAAACAAAACAGACGTCATGTTATACCTTAGGTAACTTTCGACCAACACTTTTTCAAAGGTATAGGTTGGCAAATTGGAAAACAATCAAAAAGACACTCAATATAATGAATGAGGAGGGAAAGTTGGAACATGATTAAAAAAGAGATAAATTTTAATTACAAACAATTAAAATTCAAAAGTGGGGTGAAAATAGCAAGTTCCACAAGAGTATAAAAAAGAAAAAAGACACTCACAGTCCCTCCAACAAGTGTAAGGAACGTACAAAATGCTCATTCTGTCTGCACAAGCTAGGCTGATGAAATTTTATAAATACCGCCTCCAAGACTCGGAGATGGTATACCGAGCACTGTGTAATATTGAGAACCAAGTGTCTTCATAATCTGTGGCACAAACATGGCTGTCGAGCAGATGCTGAATAGTTCTTATAGATTGGCTCTGACTACTTGAACGCAGATAGGCAGGAACATGCTGCACAACCTGCGTCTCCAACCTCGGTTTGGTTTGTCTTATTTACACCGCATCACATCGGCATTTAAACTTGTAAACAACTAAAATTTCCCCAGTTTAATTTACAACATTCTAAAAACTAATGCAATGCAATATTTATCATTGACCAATTTATAAAGGAATAAATGTGAAAACAATTTTTTTTATTCATTTACTAATCAACCCTCAAGAACAAAGAAAATGTAAAAATTCACTTTCATATGTTTAGGTTTTATTAAAATTCTAATCATCATTTTTTAAAACAATAAACATTACCGAGGAGTAAAGGTAGTTAAAATAATAATAGTGGTGTCAAGGGAAAAACTGTCCTTTTGACACTTTATTTGCAGGAAATAAGGTCCAAGTTTGCATTTATTGTTTTAAAAAGTCTATTTTTAGACTTACAGTGTAACCTGGATATAAGAGAAATTTTATCTGGTCCCAAATTAGAGCCTGTGTATATAAAATAGACCAAACCCGGATATAAGAGACTTCTTCTCCGGTCCCGACAACTCTCTTATATCCGGGTTACACTGTATTAATCAAATCCAAATATATGAAACTGGATTTATATGTTGTATTTTATTCTCAAAACATTTTACACACTATTAGAGTGTTTATTTACAAGATTGATTTTATACTTAGGAAATTATAAAAATATGTGAACCAACTACTATATTTATTATTTACAATTTTATAAAGAAATGAAATTTTTTTTTTTTTTTTTTTTTTATAAATTTATAAAAATGTCTGAGCAAAAAAAATTGAAGTGAACACATAACAATGGGTAACTGTAATTAAAAATTTTGAAAAAAAAAAAAAGGAATTTTCCTATCAGTTTCTTAAGCTCTTGCTGCATATATTCACTAAAATAGGTTGTAATTAATTAACAGTTTTTTTTTTTGTTTTTTTTTTAAAACAAACAATGCCTCGGGGCATTCAGTAATAGTGATGTGAAGAGAAAAACTGCTTTCAACATCTTTTTTTGTTTTTATATGTATGTATGAGAAAAATAGATGAGGGTGAAAACTATTTTTAGGTATATGAAGAGTTTTCCCTCTTGTCTTTTTTATTACAAATACACTTTATCTGAAAATAATTTACACATATGTACCATATACACTTATGTATCATGCAACCTTTGAAAACCTAATTTTGAAGCTAATTTGACTCCAGTAAATGGATATGTAGTTTGATCAATGGCATACCCAGGGCCAGCAGTACATATGCTAATTTTATTTCTTGTGTATGATGTGATCCCTTTAAAATTAACTTAAAAAGTCACACGATATTTTGGGGTTATAAAACCACCATTGTAACTACCAGTAGTTATGATCATAATGTAAACATTATATATAAGTGAACATTGAAGTCAATACTCAGAGGTGACGGGCTGTTTCATGCTGGACGCAATCGACAGGTGGCCTGTCGATTGCGTCCAGCATGAAACAGTCTGTTACCTCTGAGTGTTGACTTCAATGTTCACTTTTATATTTATATTTACATATGCTCTATCTCTGATACTGAGCACTTTATCCCATAAATATAGTACACCTTAAAACTATATTTATATATATATATATATATATATATATATATATATAGTCATCCACAGACTGTTTTGCTGTTTCACAGCTCATCAGTGTGGCTAGACATCCGGTTGCCTCTAGCTAGGATCGAAACCCGACTGAATTGGTGTCAGTCGGAGATTCTAACCCTTAAGCTGTTGGCGCACGGTAGGGATGAAAGTGGATTTTTTAGCGTATTTATTTTTAGAAACACGCCCAATGACCGACAGTGACTCAATTCGCATCTGCGAAGAGTCTCGCTATATAGCTATAATAGTCACTGTTTACCAACCCACACCTCGTCCCCAGAGAGCTATATATATATAATATATGTACTTAGGTTTGTATGGTTCCTTTCTACCCTTTCGTTCTGCTTTGATGCCATGATGAGGGCAGAACAATATATTAATCAAAATAACAAAAATAATAGATTTCTCAAAGTTACTTTATTGTGCACATACTAATGTATCGAACTTTATATACTGTACAGCCATCTTTTTTTTACAATTGGAAGGCTTGCCTCTCCTGTCAAGTGGTCACTTTGAGAACTAATACAACTTGTTCAACTAAGCCCACAAATTTTGAAATACATCGCAGACGATTTGAAAGTTTTTTTTTTTTTTTTTTTTTTGTCTGCTGATTTTGTCTGTTGCATTGAGTCTGTGTTGATGGGGGCGTCCGTAGATGAGAGCTTTCAAAATGGCAAAATTGAAAAATGTAAAACTGGAAAATCATGACTCGATGTTTTGTGCTTTTAAAATCACTTTTAGTCATTTCTGCTGATTTCTTTTTACTCTTTCTTACTCTTGTTTATTTATTTTTTTTTTCCTCTCTCTCCAGATTCTTATTTATTTTTTTTCCTCTCTCCAGATTCTTATTTATTTTTTTTCCTCTCTCTCCAGATTTTATTTTTTTTTTCCTCTCTCTCCAGATTCTTATTTTTTTTTTCCTCTCTCTCCAGATTCTTATTTATTTTTTTTTTTCCTCTCTCCAGATTCTTATTTATTTTTTTTTCCTCTCTCTCCAGATTCTTATTTATTTTTTTTTCCTCTCTCTCCAGATTCTTATTTATTTTTTTTTCCTCTCTCTCCAGATTCTTATTTATTTTTTTTTCCTCTCTCTCCAGATTCTTATTTATTTTTTTTTCCTCTCTCCAGATTCTTATTTATTTTTTTGGCTCTCTCCAGAAATTTATTCTTATTTATTTTTCTTTCCTCTCTCTCCAGATTCTTACTGGCGACATTGAAAATTTAATCGAAGAGCTGATGCTTAGACTGAAGCAAGTTGATAACGAAAGATGTAAGTCCTTTTTATGTTTCCTCACAGAAATAACGAAATTCCCTGCGCAGTTTAAATAAATGCATGTCTCGAGTCAAATGAGGTGTTTACCTCCCGACAAGTGTGACATGACAATTGTCACTGTTCATATACCATTTGAATAATTTTTTCTTTTTTTTTTTCCCCCTTTGTCCGCAGCGTCTACGACACAGCCTGTAATTTCACCTCCTTCTGCAAACAACCACCACCCTGCATCTTCAGGGACAAATTCAAGGCAGGACCCTGCTGAACAGTAAGTATTTTGACCCACCATAGATATTTACTTGGTTTACTTTTGGCACTAGGTCACCTGCATGGGACGTACTTACTATTGGTAACATGCAAGATCTGATTGTTATGTGTTATCTTACTGCGCATAACTTTAATATTGATAAAATTGTAAACGAGTAAAAACATAACAACATAAAGTGCTCAATATACTAAGTAGAGCAAACCTCAGATAATCCTCAGGAGCCAGGCAAACCTACTTAGGTTTTACCTACACTGATCGTCAGGGTGATGCTGGCTCACCCTGACAATCTGTTTAGGTGAAACCTAGGTAGGTTTGCCTGGCTCCTTAAGATTATCTTGTACACACACACACACACACACACACACACAAAATATTTCACATGATTCACTGAGGTGCTGCACTCTTCTGTGCACTGGTAGTACCGGGGAGGTATAACTCCATGATAATAAAACCTGAGGGGTGTTGTTCATTGTGTTCATGGCAAATATTTGCACCAACTCCGTGTTATCGGCACTTCCAATAAGTGTGGATAGTCTGCCGTTCAGTTCTGTGTTCCGTCTTTGCTATTCCACCTGAGCAATAAGTCCACTGACGAGAGAGTTAAGGCAACGGGGACAGGTACAGGATTAAAAACTGAACTGAAAGATACTCGTATGTCAAAAACGAGAGAGTCCATCATTTTATTATATATCATTCGCAGACAGTACTGTTTCGCTGTATCACAGCTACTCAGTGCGACTAGACAACCGAATACCCCAAGCTTGGATCGAAACCCAACTGATTTCATGTCAGTCAGAGTTTCTACCATTGAGCGATCTTCACTTGACGTAACGGATCAGCCATATCCAGTCTATTGTTTTTACAGATGTAAACAAACGCCAAGAAGCCAAAGTGCTCCATTCATTTTACTGAAGAGCTTCGCATTTATGCAGGTGACTGTTGTTTTTAGAATTAGCTTGTTCTTCAACAGTGCTCAATTGAAAATATATTTTCAAGAGCTATATATATATATATATATACATATATGTGTGTGTGTATTTATATATATATATATATATATATATATATATATATATATATATATATATATATATAAAAAAGAAAGAACAGTAAGATTTATAATCCAGTGTTCTTAGCAGTTTTTTTAGTTTAAAAAAGAACAATACTCTATACAAACAGTAGGGCAAAATAATATGATTATTTTCTTTTTAAAAGTCTGATTCCATTGCGACAGAAAATTTCCATGTTTCAAAACTGAAACTAAATTCTTAACTTTAATTTATAAAAAATTAAACTTAAAATTCATAATCTTCTTCCATTGTCAAGCGATGAATATTATATATAAGAGAGAAAATTCAAAATTTGCTGCTTTTTTTTTTTTTTTTTTTTTTCTGTGGGTGGGGGGAAGGGTGCTTAATGTCGGGTATAGAATAACTGTTGGTGTCATACTTTGTGTTCATCAAATGATGTGTTTGTCCTCTTCATATAGACTCTCTATCATATATATATATATATATGTATGTGTTGACATTGAAGTCAACACCCAAAGGTGGCAGCTTCTTTCATGCTTGAACACAATCCTCGAGTTACAATGCTCATAGCCTGATGCTTGCATTCAAGCATGAAACAGACTGTTGCCTCTGGGCATTGACTTCTATGTCCACATTTATATTTACATATGTTCTATCCCTGAAATCAAGCACTTTCACCTATAAATATAGCATACCTTAGAACTATATTTTACCATTTTAATATAAATACCAAATCCAGAGTTTCATAGACAAACCTTTTTGTAATCATTTGGTCCACTCGTCAGGAGGTTTCAGCAATAATAATAATAATAAAACAAAAAAAATCACACTGTTTTTCTCATCAATATAGATGCAAGTTATTACAAAAGTTGAAGTTATAAAATAAGAAAAGTTGAAATATTTATTCTTCTTTCTCTCCGAGCCACTATTGCCTTCCCAATCCATCCAGATCACTCTTACCTCCCCTGCAACTAACTTCCTGCCTTCTGGACCAATCTTTCCCCCCATCCTTACTCTCTCCTTCTGTTTCCTTCCCTGACCTTTTGAGTACCTATCTTCTCTCTCAAATCTAAGATGTAAACTTTGATTAAAATTATTAACTAGTTATTTACATTAAATTTTTATCAACAAAAGATGATCGTTATAATAATAGAATGTATTTTTAATTAATTTTTTTTTTCTCTCTTCTTCTTTCTGTCTAGGTATTATGCTGCTTTTCCAGCGTTGTCTGGTGATACAAAAATGACTTCTCAAACCCAAAGTTCTCAAGTGAGCATTATTTCTAGTACTGATGTCTCAAATGTTTGGAAAAAGAAGCAACAGCAGCAGCAACAACAACAGCAGCAGCAGCAGCAATCCCAAAAAATGGCAGCCACGTTAAGTGCCCAAACTGGTAATTCTATCAATCTGGAAGGCACCCCAACCAGAGGCCGCCAAAACAATGCAGCTTCCCGCCGCCGTCGTGGTTGTTTAAGCCATCACGGAAATAAAGAAAATTTGCATAAGCCCCCTTTTACCCTAAGGGGAAAGGATGATCGTGGAAGCCGCTATGGTTCCCATGGTAACAGGTTGAGAGGTGGGCGTGGCCGATCAAGTCGTTCGCTTGTCTCTGACACCCGGCAGAAACTCTCTCAGAGTTCATCCCATCAACCATGTAGCCGTAATATAGGAACCCGTCGCTGTGGAGGGGGTGGTGGTAATGCCCCAGCAAACAGTGATGGTGATTATTGCCTTAGCGTTGAGAATATATTGAAGGATATTTTGCGAACGGCCAACAAAAATTCTTCCAGAGCTGAAAAAGTCTGTCATGAGCAGGAAGCGTCTTACCCTTATAACTTTGCTGGCCGCTTGTGGGTCCCCAAAATTGAGTCTGGTCTCAGGGATCTTCAGCCCAGGAACAAAAAAATGTCTTTGAATTTAACAGGAAAAGCCTTTGAAGAGAATTCTGCTTGGTACGACATCAGTTTTTTGGATAACCGCCATACGTCAAGGGATAAGGACTTCCCTTTGACGTCCCCACCTTCCTTATCTATGTCAGTTATTGGTCCAAAAAGCAAGCAGAGGAGTTATGTTCGTCTCTATAAGCGGCATAGCTATCCACCACCATCTCCAAGATCAGTGTTGACCCTTGAAGGCTTAGAAGAAAAAGAAATCTTTAAAAAATTCTCATGTTTAGGACCACGTGTTGATAAGGTACCTAACCCTAAAACTGCCTTGGTTGTCAACCCTACAAAAAAAAGTTCTGTATCCAAGGGAACAGATAATATTATGTATGCAGCAACAGAGAACGTTGTGGATAGTTCAGTGAGATCTTTACTGGACTGTTCTCCAGAAGAGATTTTACCGTCTTTGTCTCGAAGCCCTTCAGATGAATTGGAGCGCAGTTTGCATCTCCTTTCTGGCTACCCTCCATTGACTGATCTTCAGGGCTGTAGTCCATCTTTTGTAAATGGCTCCATAAGTTCAAGTGGTACGTTTTGTCCCACAGCTGCCGATGTGAGCCCCTGTGGTTGGTCACCAAGTCCAGTTAAAGCATTATCTCCATCGGGAGTCGCTTCACCAACAACCCCAGTGTCATCACCCAATTCGACTACGTCCCTTTCTTTGCTGGATGTCTCCTACTTAACCAATATGGCTGGTCGTGAGAAAAGGTCCCTTGATAAAACCCAGAAAGAGGACTCGAAAACTAAAGCAAGCTCTCTTTGTCTTGAGCATCTCTTCCCAGACGAATTCAGCAACCATATACCAGATCTTTCCTCTTTGCTCGAAAGTCCGCATAAGTTAGTTGCTGGAATAAAAGGCAGAAACAACTTTACCTATGACCCATATGTGTTTGTATCCAACACACAGAGTTCGTTTGCTGAAGATGATGACGAAGGTTTTGATTTAGCAGTAACGCCGACCCCTATCCATGGAGCTGTTGGTCAAGCCATTTACAACACAACCACTTATCGACCCTGGAGTTATGCGCTTGTAGAAGAGAGGATTATGTCTGAGGTACAGACATCAGACATTCTGGCTCGAAATGAATGTTTTTCCCAGGTTTGGGATGTAAATTTTCAAAGACGAGTGATCCCCACTAGCCAGACTTGTTCTAACCGTACTAATTTTACGTACGCTCAACATTCTCCCAAATTAGATGCTTCTCCCAGTTTTTTGTTACATTCAA